GGACCTTGAGATCGAGTTTACAATAACTCTTTACCGTTCTGTGTTTGAGGACATAGCCCACCTAAAGCCTTACAAAGGACATTTAAGAAGTGGTCCAGAGTAGAATTAGAATTGCCCTTCGAAAAGAGCAATAATAAAACAGCTTCAGAGTGTTCCTAACTCTGGTGAAAGCTGCTCTATGAAACTTTCCTTTCTTTACAAGTCTATATTTTTGTTCAGTGTACCAGAGAGATTATTCTGTTTTTATTAAACTTCATTCAACAGTGCTCTGTACCAGGGAGATTATAATCTACAAAGAAAAAAACCAAAGTCATTACCTAAAGGGAAGAGCATAAAAGGCCCCTGTGGCTGTCAAGAATGGCAAAGAAATGGCTAATAAAGTTGTGATTTCCCCGAATATTGTTTCCACTGATTATGTAAGGACTCATCAGCGATTTCATTATAGGAGAAAGACTGATGGAGCTCTTACATTTATGAGCAAAGCTTTGTGCCAGGAAAGATGAAATCAACAAGCTAAGAGACCCAGCAGGAGGGAGTAGGGATTTTAAGAAAGAAGATTTAGGGGAAAACCTCTCCAGTGAATCAGGGCATATCTTAGTGAAAATTGAGACTTGGCTCTGATCCTTCAGCTTGGTGCTTCCTGCTAAACTTTTGAAATGTAGCCAGTGTTATAATTAACACCTCACCCCACCCCCGCTCCTCCACAGCAACATGTACTTCTTTGAGGCATGACAGAGTAAAATCCTTATCCTTTTCAATGGTGTGATAATTCCAAATAACGTGAAGTCCTTCCCACAGGACTGGGCATTACTGGAAGTTTGCATGATGCCTGTGCCCTCGTGAGTAATGACCGAGATTCCAAATCCTCTATTTACTCTTCAAGTGAAGGCTGCAGACCAGGCAACCAGGGTGGCCCCAACTAATCAATTGTTGGGGGTTAGGTGACACTGTCATAGCCCAGGTCCACTACCTCTGCCTTCTTAGTTCTTCCTGGAGGCCTCATGATAGACCCTCAGGAGTCCACCAGCATTTCCTGTCTCCAAATCCAACCCTGCATAGTTAGAAGTTTTCTACATGGAAATGTTATTTTATCATTAAATATGTAAATTTTTCTAACGGAGTCTCCAAAATAAATACAAATGTGCTCCTTTTGTAAGAAAATGCCATTATTCTGTACTACCAAAATACCCTTCACTTTATTTTATTTCAGTTTTGAGATGGAGTCTTGCTCTGTCACACAGGCTTGAGTGCAATGGCATAGTCTTGACTTATTGCAACCTCTGCCTCCCCAGTTTAAGTGATTCTCCTGCCTCAGCCTCCCAAGTAGCTGGGATTACAGGTGTGCACCACTGCACCTGGCTAATTTTTGTATTTTTAGTAGAGATGGGGTTTCATCGTGTTAGCCAGGCTGGTCTCGAAATCCTGACCTTGTGATCTGCCCACCTCAACCTCCCAAGGTGCTGGCATTATAGGCGTGAGCCTTATCCTTCACTTTAAAAAGCGTTTCTCACATCCCTCCATTTCAGCATTGACCAGCACATTCCCACCTATGCTTCAGCTTTGGTAGAAACATTGGCCCACTTCTTTGTCCTCTCATTAGTTCCCTCTGTCGTGTGCCCTCACAACACCACCTGTGTCCTTTCTCACACGCATGGCCCTATAATAGTGATATTCTCTCTCCCTGGCAGGTGCATGGGGTAAGGAAGAGTATGTCACATGCCACTCCATCCTTAACCAGCACAATGTCTAGCACCTCTTAGACTCTTAATAAATATTTTAAGAATATAGTTAAATGAACAACTTAAATTTCCCTTCAATTAATGACTATCTTTAAAGCTTTTAAATTATACTCAACTTTACTAAAAATGAATATATCCACAAACTTTACAGGAACATAAAACTGTGCAGTGATAATCATACCTGTGATTTGTAAAGCACTCTGCAGTTTGCAGAATCCTATTTTTTCAATTATTTGATTTTCATAAGCACGTTGTAAGTTAAGTAGGGTGGGCATTGCTATTCCTATTTAAGGCAGAAGAAACTGAAGGTTAGACGTTATCCAGCTTCCCCCCACTGTAAATAGTGAACAAGTACCTTCTTCTAAGGCCTATGCTGCTCCATGTCATGACGGTGCTCAATGGTATCGTAGTAAGTCTGCCAACCAGGGTGTTTTCTCATGTATTCCAAGAAGCCTCATTATACCCTTGTAATCCAACTCATTTGCAATTGAGTCGATGTTCTCTTTTTCTTTCCAATGAGTTTCACCAAACACTGGCTCAAAGAGCCTGATTCAGAGGCCTAGCAACCATCTAGCCCAGAATTCCACTCAGCTAAACATGCCTTTCCCATCTGCCTCACCCAAATATGTCTTATGTCAGTGTCCTTTTTCTGACCTTATATCAAGGCATGCACCATGACAGCACATAAAGGGCCCTTGACACAGTCTTGGTTGTGAGTTTACACCAGTTCTCCATCACAGAGTGAGCTAAGGAACCATCTACCATTAGGAGATCTCACAGGAGTGTCAGCAAAAATAGACCTCTTTTTTTCCCCTCCTTTTCTTTATTTTCTACTTTTTTATTTCTACATTTTTCATTTTAATAGCTGTAGAGGTACAGGTGGTTTTTAGTTAGATGGGTGAATTGTATAGTGGTGAAGTCTGGGCTTTTAGTGCATTTGAAAAGTGTACGTTGTACCAATGTTTATTACATCACTCTGTTTGCGTTTGCGTATCCATAGCTGCTTAGCTCCCACTTTACGTGAGAACATGTGGTATTTGTTTTTGTCATTGTTCCTGAGTTACTTCACTTAGGATAGTAGCCTCCAGTTCCACCCATGTGGCTGCAAAAGACCTTATTCATTCTTTTTTATGGCTGAGTGGTATTTCATTGTGTGTGTGCACACCACATTTTCTTTATCCACTCATCGATTGATGGGTACATAGGTTTTTTCCATAGCTTTGCAATTGTGAATTGTGCTGTAATAAACAGACAAGTGGAGGTGTCTTTTTTTTTTTTTTTTTTTTTAAATATAATGACTTCTTTTCCTTTGGGTAAATACCTAGCAATGGGATTGCTGGAAAAAATGGTAGAACTACTTTTGGTTCTTTGAGAAATCTCCATACTGTTTTCCATAGATATTGTACTAATATACATTCCTAACAATGATGTATAAGTGTTCCCTTTTTGCCGCATCTCCTCCAATATATATTGGTTCTTGGCAAAAGGAGACCTCTTTCATGGCTGCATGACCATCAGAAGGCCTTAGCAGTTGCATTTCCATTGACTGATGTTGGTGTTTCCTTCCTTTCACATGTCCCTGCCATGCTACGCTGTGTTGACATAGATGTTACTGAAATACAATATCTCATTGTTCCATTTCAATGAACAAGCATACAAGGGCTAGGAGAGAAGTGACCAAACCTCTGCAGGCTCTGTTATTTGATAGCTGAGTACCTAGCATGGGGAGATGCTGAGGGCTGTCGTGGTCTTTGGGTGCTTGAGTCGATACTCACTGGAAGTCTTGCCTTGTTTGCCAATTGCTGCTTTATGCAAGGCTGGCTTGGTCAAGATTGACTCCTACCCATTTCTGTCTCTACTGTCAATTCCCCATATAGACTCCCTCATTCTCCATGATGGTCTTTGTAGTTTGCAGCTTGTTTCTTTTTTTCCTACATCTGTCAGCTCATGCCTGTAGCTTGTAGCTTTTATATCACCTAAATATTGTAGAATTCTGTAGCAGCACAGGATCTATAATAGAGTCCATCTCATTACTGTTGTTCCATATCATTTTACACAGCATTACCTGTAATACATTGTGTTTGCAAAGTAGCTTGCATTGCCTTTTGAAATGGAGACATGGGTTGGTCTATAGTTTGCTAGTAATTTCAAGCATAAACTAGATAAAACAGTTTTCAAAAATCATTAGCATATTGATTACATTTAATATCTTGCACATATTTATAATGAGAACTCGGAGAATTTTAAATCTTCTCTCTCTTAGGGTTCCATTCTTGCATTTATTAATAAAGAATAATTAGGCCAGGTGTGGTGGTGCACGCCTGTAATCCTAGCACTTTGGGAGGCTGAGGCAGATGGATTACCTGAGGTCAGGAGTTTGAGACCAGCCTAGCCAACATGGCAAAACCCTGTCTCTACTAAAAATACAAAAATTAGCTGGGTGTGGTGGCGGGCACCTGTAATCCCAGTTACTTGGGAGGCTGAGACAGAGAATCCTTGAACCCGAGAGGTTTCAGTGAGCTGAGCTTGTGCCATTTCATTTCAGCCTGGACAAGAGCAAAATTCTGTCTCAAAAAAAGAAAAAAATAATAATTAAATAAAATTACTTGGCCACTAGAATGACTAGATACAAAGCCTTGTGTTTAAAGACAACCAACTGTCTTAGTCAATTTTGTGCTGCTATAACAGAATACCTGACCCTGGGTAGAAACTTATTGGCCCACAATTCTGGAGGCTGGGAAGTCCAGGATTGAAGCACGGCATCTGACAAAGGCCTTCTTGCTGCATCATCTTATGGTGGAAGGTGGAAGGGTAAAGAGAGAGCAAGATGGAAAGAGAACAAGAATGGATGAAACTATTTCAGTCACAAGGAACCCACTCCTTTGATAATGGCATTAATCCATTCATGACCTAAACACCTCTTAACGAGGAGTGGGCCCAACACCACGTGGAAGCCCTACCTTCCAATACCATCACAATGTTGATTAAATTTTGCTTAGATTTTGGAGGGGATGAACATTCAAAGCATAACACCAACATATACTACTGGTACTACTTTTTAAAGACTTAATATTACTTCTCATAGACAGTAAAAACATAAACCAATGGCTATCGCTTTAACTTTAATCTTCTTCCCTTCCCGCTCCCCCATTCTGGGGAAATAAAAATTAATGTTTGTAGTCATGTAATGTGTATATTATTAGGGGTAAAAAAAATTTTCCCTCTCTGATAATGAACCTCACATTTCTTTTGCTTTTACAGTAATAAAAGACTAGTGGCCTTGGTGCCCATGCCCAGTGACCCTCCATTCAATACTCGAAGAGCCTATACCAGTGAGGATGAAGCCTGGAAGTCATACTTGGAGAATCCCCTGACGGCGGCCACCAAGGCCATGATGAGCATTAATGGTGATGAGGACAGTGCTGCTGCCCTCGGCCTGCTCTATGACTATTACAAGGTAGGTCCCCAGCCTCCACTTTCCTCTTGTTCCTGCTTCAGGACATCCCCTTGCTGGGGAGAAGAAGGAACAGATTATTTGTCCCAGGCCAGGGAACTATCAGTATTTCCAAACTCAGTATAGAATTCAGCCTCTTCCTGTTCTCATTGACCCCTGTTCCCCATCTATGAAGCTCAAATTTATCACTAACCCAGAGGAAGTGTTTATTTTGGGATGAGTATTTTTTTTGTTCTTTGTTCACATGCATGCATATTCTTTGCATATTATCCTTACTTGTATTACAGATGCTTTCTTGTTACCATTTTTACTTTAGGATTATTATTTTTGCTGAAGGAGGTATATTACATTGTGTGCCTTTATTAGTTCACTTTCACTCTGCTGATAAAGACATATCCGAGACTGAGAAGAAAAAGAGGTTTAATTGGACTTAGAGTTCCACATGGCTAGGGAGGCCTCAGAATCATGACAGGAGACAAAAGGCACTTCTGACATGGCAGTGGAAGAGAAAATTAAGAAGATGCAAAAGCAGAAACCACTTATAAAACCATCAGATCTTGTAAGACTTATTCACTATCATGAGAACAGTATGGGGGAAATTACCCCCATGATTCAAATGATCTCCTACAGGGCCCCTCCCACAACACCTGGGAATTATGTGAGTACAAATCAAGATGAGATTTGGGTGGGGACACAGAACCAAACCATATCAGTGGTTGTACCATAATTTAGTTATTGCTCAGTGGTTAAACACTTATGTTGCCTCCAGATTTTCCCATTTATAAGAAATATTCAGGGTTTCTGGATTTTTCAGTTTTAGGACGAACATTCCCATGAACACTTTTATGGAAGACTTTTGCAGCAATTTCAAAACCTCATTTTGTTACAACCCTAACTTTCTCCATTTGTATTGATGAATACTAAATTTTTATTTTGAAAAACTCTTAAAGCAAAATAAACATAATGCAGTTACATTACAAAAATTTACTTGCCATATACTACCTATAAAATAGGAGTGTTTCAGGAAATCAAACAAAAAACAGTGGTTTATCTCAAGCATAAAGAACTATGCCTGGTATGACCTACTCCTTTTGAATTATTGAAGTGTAAAAAATCAACAAGTATTTACTGAATGAAATTTATTGCCTGCCTTGATTGTGAACACCTTTGGCTGATACTGGGAACTGGCACAAGTGTGAGGATGGCTGTGTTTATTTTGGTGGTTGGGCACCATGAACTCTTATTTCAGAATAAGGACTGAATCCCACCTCCCCTTCTCCCTCCATCAAAAAAAACCAAAGTTTTTGGCAAAATCTTGCAGGAGAGATAATTTCCCTTTTAGTAACCTTTGGTCTCTGCTTTCTGTTTCCTTTCTGCTTCCTACTTTCTGTTAACTTTCAGCAGCCTCCACTTCGTAAGCTATTGTCTCCTGTCTCTCCCCCAAAACAGTTCTCACACTTTCAAACGATCTCCCACTATCACCACCTCTGGCATTGCCACCACACCTACTCTTCTGCCAGAGGTTTCTAAAATTACACATTCCTTTTCCAACTTCTTTCCCATTAAAACACTCAGGAGGAACTCCTCCTGGGGGAGATGATTGAAAACAAAGCGAGGCTTTATCTAAGATGGAGAGCAAGCTATGAGTGGCAGGTGCAGATGACTGACAGGTAGGTCCGACCAGGGTATTTTAAATAAGGATATTGCTAACTCAAATAAATGCATCCTTTACAGTTAGGAAGTGCTGAAGAAATATATAAAGGGCTTTCTATTGGTCTAGGCTTGCTGCAGTCTAGGCTGACTTTCCTGCTTATCAAGAGAGCCAGTGCTGGCAGATTGTGATCACCCTCTTATGAAGGCATAAAACTTCCAGCAGGACTCCTGACATAGCAGGAAGGACTTTAATTTTGGGGAACTTGTGCTCCAGATGAAAGGATACTTTATTTTAAGGCCTAAACTACATTACATGTAAGTAAGGCTATTTTCTCTACAGTGAAGGGGAATTCCTGGGGGAAAAAAAAAAAAAAAGTCTGAAAACCAAAATGATTTCATGGTAGGCTTTTTTCTTCTTCTTTTCTGGCTGTGGTTGTTTTATAGTTTTCATCCTTTCTGATTGAGTATCTCATTTGACAAATGCAAGGATAAATTCTAAATGTTTCGGATCAAAAATTTTCAAAACGTATTGAGGATAGTTGGGAAGCACAGAACTCATTAAATTAGGGTGCCTCGTGTTCTGGGCCATTTCCTGAGGGCGTAACTTTTTTGGCAATTCTTTTTTTGTATTAGCTGAGAAAGAGAAGCATACCATGAAACAAACATAATTAGTAATTCTTTTTTTTCTTTTTTCTTTCTTTTTCTTTTCTTCTTCTTTTTTTTTTTTTTTTTTTTTTTTGTGAGATGGAGTCTCCACCTGTCACCCAGGCTGGAGTGCACTGGCGCAATCTCAGCTCACTGCAACCTGTGCCTCCTGGGTTCAAGCAATTCTCCTGCCTCAGCCTCCCAAGTAGATGGGATTACAGATGTGCACCACCATGCTCACTATTTTTTTTTTTTTTAATTTTTAGTAGAGATAGGGTTTCACCATGTTGGCAAGGCTGGTCTCAAGCTCCTGACCTCATGATCCACCTGCCTTGGCCTCCCAAAATGCTGGGATTATAGGTGTGAGCCACCACACCCGGCCGTTTTTTGTGTTTTTAGTAGAGACAGGATTTGGCCATGTTGGGCAGGCTGCTCTTGAACCCCCAGTCTCGAGTGATCCACCCGCCTCAGCCTCTCAAAGTGCTGGGATTATAGGCATGAGTCACCACATCCACTCCATAATTAGTAATTTGTGAAGCCAATGTATTTTATTTCCCACAGATGCAGGGGATAATTAGGTATTAGTAAATATGGGTGATTAAGTACTAGTAAATGTGTTACCTAGATTACCTGTCCTTTTGTATATTTGCTAGCATTTAAAGGAAAGTTGAAATACTGCTTTCTGTAAATATTCTGAGATACCAGGTAGGGAGTTTACAGAAAACTCAAGGTGCAGCCAAGTCTATGACTCCTTCTGTTGAATTAATATTTTCCAAGACCATGTGGACTACTAGAGTTATATAGCTTCTTTTATTTCGCACAAGCTTTGCTATATTTTTGCTTGGAACATTTTAGTGTTTGTGGAAAGAATGGGTCTTGTTTTCATTCTATGTTCAAATGATCATTCTGAAGCCCTTTTCAGTATCCTGGGTGTTCACAGCTTATATATGTTGGTGTTAAAGTTATAAGAAAGTTAAATGTCTCTTGAGGATAGAACTTTTTCTGTAGTCAAGTGAAATGTTAATGAAACAAAGCAGTTCTGGGTTTTTAGTGCAAACTCTGAGAAATTGCTGCCAAGTTATCATTTAAATTTTATAGACTTTCTATGTCTCTTCAGAATATGAATTCTTTTTGCCAAAGAAACCATTTTTCCTCGCTTCTGAGTTGCAGTAGTTCACCCTGAGGAGACAGTCGTGGGGTCTGTGCAGAGGGAGGAGTTAATGAGATACATGCAGTCACTCCAGAAATGGTGGGTCCTATCCTTTGAACGTGGCAAAAGCATACCTTTGCATACTTTATAAATTTCAGTCTTTTCACTTATATTTGATAACTGTTACCATAGGATCATTGCAGTGAAATCCATCAGGTTTTACATTTTATAGTTCAGGTAACTGAGTGGGATTTACCCAAGATCACAGGGCAATCCCATATGTTTTCTCATAGCCATTGTTTTCCAATGACCACCATTTTAAAAATGCCATTTTTTGAACCCATTTACAAATTTTAAAAGTATGCATTTGAAGCTTAATGTTGTTTACTAATCAAGTGGTGTTTATTTTTTAAAACCCAATGTATAGAATCTGTCATAATTTAGAGACTCAAATCCTAGCTCAGTTCTCTATCCAGTGTAAACTACTTACTGATAGCAGCTCCAGAGTTCTGCAACCTTTCCATGAATTTCAGGCATGATAGAAAGACCTGACAGACTCAATTAGCCACATATTTTAAAAATGTTTTGACTGACTTTATCTAACTTTATTTTTCTCTTGAGAAAGCTGGTTTATCATCATCTGGTTCCAGATGTAGTGAAAATAGGCTCCCCTGGTCAGTTGGTTTCCATCTGTCCTACTGACCAGTACTGTTGGAAACCAGTTTGTGGGTTGATTTGTTTGTCCATCCATCCATCCATCCATCCACCCACCCAACAAATACTCACAAAATAGCTATAACCTCCCAGCAATGGGGATAAATATTGGATATCCAAAGGCAGGTGAGACTCAGTTCACCACCTCAGAGAGATCACCAACAATCACAGTCTAGGACAAACACAGTCCTATAAACCTATAACCATGGTTTATGGAGGTCACTGCTCTAAAAGTGGTGTGTTCCAAGAGCAGTGGGCTGACTGGCAACCTCTCGGATAATTCAGGCTTTCCAGAGGAAGCAATGCCTACTCTGCCACAGAGTAGAAGACAATCTGTCACATACACAGGCTGGACAGAAAGAGAGAGAAAGACAGAGTTAGTGAGGGGAGTTCATAACTAGGGGCAAGATGCCTAAGATGATTCCTGGATTAATCAAGGCAGAGAGTACAGAATAAAGGCTTTGAGGAGAACGATAATTATGGGTTGAGTTTGATGTGCCTGCAGGAAGTCCAGGTAGGGATGTCTGGTAGGTAAGTCTAGGACTCAAGAGAGGAGATCAAGTTCAGAGTTCTCAGTTTATCTAAAGATGGTTTGCAAAGCCAAAGCTTCAAAAAAGCGCATGGTTCAAAGAAGAGCAAACCTGCAGATTAATAACCACCTTTCTGGCATTGTGCTCCGCACCATAGACTGAGCACAGTTGTCTGCTCAGAGCTCACATCAGGGACTCTTGGCAACAATAACGTTCACTTCCATACACCTTTGGGAGTTGCTAACATGTTTCAGAGTTTGGAATGTCTATTCTGCTATTTCTTTGGTTCTGCCCTTTACAGGCCATTTTCATTGATCGATTGATTCTTTTAATAAGTATTTAGTGAGGGCCTACTACATTCCAGGCACTCAGGACGTAACCACGTACAAGGTAGACACAGAGATTGCCATATCATGGACACAGAAAATTAGATGGGACTCAACGTATGGGCACAAGTTAGCCTGGAGAAGGCATGGGTGGTGGTGTGGGTGTGGGAGGGGCAGGACATGTTCTAGGCAGAGAGAACTTTGTGTGATGGCTCTTTTGTGAGAAGGGGCATTGCATGGTTGTAGACACAGTTGGCCCAAGTGTGAGAAGCAAAAATGGGCTACCCATGTTGATGTGGGAGACTTTCTGGAGGCCACCTACCTGAGAGTAACCGGAAGCGCTGAAGGATTTTAAGTAGAATAGCAGCATGAAGAGATCAGACTGCATTTTAAGCAGACCACTCTGAGTCTTCCTAATGGATCCAGAAATAAGTCACAGGAATGAAATGAAGGAGAGGAGAGACCAGTTAGGAGCTGATGCAGCAGCCCAAGCAAGGGACCCTGGAGGCTGAGCCTGGAGGCCGGTGTCCAGGGGCAGGGCATGGGTTTCAGAGGCACAGGGCAGTTTGTGCCACCTGGTTGGAAGGGGAGGGGCAAGGGATCCTTGATAGTCAAGAAAAATGTGACGGTGCCGTGGCACCCGACAAAAGAAGTCAATCATCTGTCCCTGGTTCAAGGCCCTTCCTCCTCTGGACTTTGCTCATCTCTGAGGCCACATCTCCTCCAACTCACTCCTTACGCTGGCTGTGCCTTCCTGTTCTGTCCTGCTCTCAAACCTTTTTATAAGCAGCTCTGGTGGCTTCTAGCCTTCTGCCTCCACTTGACAATTTCCTACCCATGGCTCAGCCCCTCTGGGAAACTCCACCTTGTAGGCTTCCAGAGAGCCCTGCCAGTAGCTCAGTTTTATCTCATATCACGGGGTATTAAATTTTTGAAACACTGTAGAAATAACTATCTTTTAGGAGAGAAACTAAGTACTCTCTGGTGGAGTTGGGTCAGTCATAAACTCAGGACCCAGCGGCAGGCAGAGATGGAGAAGTAGGTCTCTTTTTTTTTTTTTTTTTTTTTCTTTTTTATAGTTTTCCAGTTTATTAAGTTTTTAATCTGAATGCCAGTGGAATTTCTTTCTCCTTTTTTTCCCCTCTTTAATTATTATTTTTATTTATTTATTTTAACGATTATACTTTAAGTTCTGGGATACATGTGCAGGTCTCTCTTTTTTGTGGGGGTGGAGGATGGAGTCTCACTTTGTCACCCAGGCTGGAGTGCAGTGGCTGATCTCGGCTCACTGCAACCTCCACCTCCTGTGTTCAAGCAATTCTCCTGCCTCAGCCTCCCAAGTAGCTGGCATTACAGGCTTCTGCTACCATGCCCGGCTAACTTTTATGTTTTTAGTAGAGACGGGGTGTCACCATATTGACCAGGCTGGTCTCGAACTCCTGACCTTGTGATCCACCTGCCTTGGCCTCCCAAAGTGCTGGTATTACAAGTGTGAGCCACCACGCCCAGCCAGGTATCCTTATTTTTAAAAAAAGAAATTTATCATTTCAACTTTTGTTTTAGATTTGGGAGTATTTGTGCAGGTTTATTATATGTATATATTGTGTGACACTGAGGTTTGGGGCACGACTGTGCCCACCACCCAGGCAGTGTTCTTAGTACCCAAAAGGTGGTTTTTCAGCCCTTGCCCTGCATCCTCCCTGCTCCCTGCTCTAGCAGTCCCGTGTCTGTTGTTCCCATCTTTATGTCAATGTGGACCCAATGTTTAGCTCCCATTTGTAAGTCAGAACACATGGTGTTTGCTTTTCTGTGTCTGCATTTATCCGCTTAGGATAATGGCTTCCAGCTCCACCCATCTTGCTGCAAAGGACATAATTTCATTCTATTTTTATGGCTGTGGGGTCTTCTTAAATATTTACTTCTTTCTTAATGCCTTTTAAAAATGTCAAAAATATATAACATGAAATTTACCATTTTAACCATTATTAAGTGTCCAGTTCTGTGGCATTAAGTATATTCACATTGTTGTGCAAACATCGCCACCATCTATCTCCAGAGCCTTTCATTTTCCCAAACAGAAAACTCTGTACTCCTTAAACAGTAACTCCTTTCTTGTCCTCCCACCTGCTGGTCATCTCTGTTTTACCTTCTGTCTATGAATTTGACTCTTCTGGGGTACCTCATATAAGTGGAATCATACAGTATTTGTCCTCTTGTATCTGCTTAGTTTTTTTTAGTGTAATGTCTTCAGGGTCCCTCCATATTATAGCATGTGCCTTAATTTCATTCTCTGTTAAGGCAGCATAGTATTCTGTTCTATGGCAATGCTCATTTTGTTTTTCTATCTATCTGCTGATGGATGCTTGGGTGGTTTCCTCCTTCGGGCTACTGTAAATAGTGCCACAATGAATGTAGGTGTACTGAGTATTGAAATTGTATGTTTATCTGTCATGTTCAATAGGTGATGAGAACTATTATTTATCTCATTTTTATACATTGTTTAACAATGCCTAGCATAGTGTAGACTCTGAACGTTAACATGAATTACTTACAATTGATTTATTTTATTTAACAAATATAAAGTACCAGACACCCCAAGTGCTTTAAAAAAATTAACTCATTTAATTTTACTAAAAACCTGTGAGACAAGGGACTACTGTTATGCCCACTGTACAGATGAGGAAAATGGGACAGAGTTTACTGAGTGGTAGAGCTGAAGGTTTGAATCCAGGCAAGCATGCCCTAGGTCTGGACTCCTGGCCACCCTGCTCTGTCCCCACCCTAAGCCAGGTGTCTGGGCTTGTGTACACATTCAGGTAAGTGGAAACCACAGGAATTGCTAGGGGACTCCAGTAGAGGGATGATTTTCATGAATGTGCTTTTACCTCAAGAAAGCAAAGGCTGATTTTTGGGTGCAAAGTTAGTTTGGCTAGAAGGAAGATCTGGAGATATAGCAAAAAAAGAAGAAGAAAAATACGCAAATGAAAAATCTAATCAACCAACCCAATTCAAGCCTACTTACCCATGTGTTTGAAAACTATGGCAGAGTAAAGGATCTAGGATGCAGCAGGTTATTAGATGATCAGAGACACAGCTGGTGGGATGGCCCATCTCTCAATTAGCACTTTTTCAATAATCTTTCAGGTAATATGTTGGTATTAGGGGTTTTAAGACAATAATGAAAGTATATTTAGAAACAAAATCTTGGAAGCAAGTCCACAAGCTGTGTAGGAAGGTGGACAAAGTGGGGCCCAGGTATATTGGATACTTCCCCTCGCTGCTGGCTGACAGTACGGCCCCCTGTACCTGAGCCCCCCACCATGTTAGCACCTAAAGCCCTCATCAGAGAGGAGGGTAAACTCCTGTTCTTTACGGTGACTCATCTTGGACCTCCATTATGTTTTCTGTCTGCTCAAAGGCACCCATGTCTAAATTCACCTCCACTCATGTTGCTTCTCTCCCCTCTTTCACTCCCATGGTGGTGAGTGCACAAGAGGTGCTGAGGTCCAGGGAGAGTCACCCAGGCCAGCCATGAACAGCTGAATCATGTCTGTTGTGGCCATGTGTTTATCACCAACACTGTTTCTGGCTCCATAATCATTGTCACTCAGGCTACTCACCTTTAACATCTCCTAGTGATAGCAATTTTTCCACCATTTCCTGGAGAACATTCCACTTTGGTTTCTTTGCTGATGCTGGTGTCTAGCTCTGAACATGGTCATGGTTGCATCAATGTATGCCTGACTGATGGTTGGTGATGTTTCCAGGTTCCTCGAGACAAGAGGCTGCTGTCTGTAAGCAAAGCAAGTGACAGCCAAGAAGACCAGGAGAAAAGGTATGGTAAAGGGACTTGCCGGCCACCCCAAAATAACTCTGTTTTCTGAAAATGATGTTATTAACTATGTGTTTTGTTCTTGAGATGGTTTAAGAGGCTTAGCATCTTCTGCCTGTCTTTTGAGTCTGGACCAATGCTAGATCTCTCAGTCAGGAGAGCAAATTACATTTTTGGTGATGCATCCAAAGCGTCTCTGCACCCTCTTCAAATACGCCCTTTCAAGGGGAGGCTTAAAATCCTGAGTCAGAGGTGAGATGCTAGCAAGATAGCCCACTGAGGGGATGAACTTTTCTGATCAACCCCATGGCATTATAACTGCAATTAGGCCGCCCAGGAAGTGAGACACCTGAAGGGTTGCTTTTGAAGATGGGGGGAGGGGAAAGAAAGGAGGTTGGGCTGTTAGCCAAGAGAGGTGCAGGTGAAGGCCGTTGTGAGGGGTATCTGCTGTCAGGGTGAAGGGGCAGGACAGCTGCAGGAGATCACTAGAGAACACCCCTTCCCTGCCCTCCTCGGTCAAGAACCAGCTGAAAAGCAAGGCACAGTCAGATAAATTGAGATTAAAAAAGGGGAAAAAATCAAAAGCAGCTTTATCTCTGATGAAGCCAATTGGAGAATGTGACTGCAGCTTGTAACGTTTCAGTCCTGATTTAGGTAATCTACCCATTCAGTCCCAAGCATGTCTTTGTACCATTTATGGCACTGGAGGGAGAATCCCCTTTCTTTGGCCAGGATGATTCCCAAAAAAGAGACAGGACCAGAAGGGATTGAATCACCCTGCACAGCTACTTCCTTCAAATTTTTTTTTTTTTTTTTTTTTTTTTTAGACAGGGTCTTACTCTGTTGCCAGGCTGGAATGCAGTGGTGTGATCTTGGCACACTGCAATCTCTGCCTCCCGGGTTCAAGTGATTCCCCTGCCTCAGCCTCCTGAGTAGCTGGGACTATGGGTACACATCACCACATCTGGCTAATTTTTGTAGTTTTAGTAGTGACGGGGTTTCACTATGTTGGCCAGGATGGTCTTGATCTTCTAACCTTGTGATCCACCCACCTTGGCCTCCAAAAGTGCTGGGATTACAAGTGTGAACCACCATGCCTGGCCCAAACTCATCTACTTCTTTCAAATTCATCCATCAATAAATTTCTTCTTTGCAGTCGGATAGAGAGAAGCCATAGTGTTTTTCTATTGGGAGTTCATCCATATGGAAATAAAATCCCCTGCTAGCACATATGTCAGAATCTGACCTGGCCTTGATAGGAACTGCTTGGGACATTACATCTTCTGTGATGAGCAGCAGGGGCCACTCCACCAACCAGCAGCCCTGTGCTGTGCAGCATCTCCAAGGTACAACCCTAGCAGAACATGAGGGCTTCCTGCATCTGATTCACTGTTCCATTAGGGATCTCCTGAAGCTCCACATTGCCCTCGGGTCCTGGGACATCGCTGGCAGAAGTGATGACAAGGAAGAAGAGGCTGACACTCTTCAGGCCCCAAAACTTTTCGTTGACCCAGCCAGTTTTATTGAGTTAAGCTTGTGCTATCCACTTAGTCCTGTGCCAGAATTATAGCAGGATCAGGGCAAAAACGTGTCTAAGACGTGCGCTGTCTACTTCTCTCAGGATGACATTACAAAGCAACAGCTGCTCATTGTATTTTAATGGTTATTTTTGTAATTTTTCACAGCATTTTTTAAAAAACAGTGAAATATAAACTACCTTGTATAGATTAATTATGACTTAGACTTCTCATTGAATATAATTTGGAAGGATATCATGATCTACAGCATATTCATGAATTAAGGTATCATGTGTTAACATAGTATCATTACAACTGTTTGTATACAGAAGATGCTACCTGGAAAAATAACAGAATCTCAATGATATGATCCAAATTTTCTCAAAAATATATTTAACATACCATTATTATCATTGCATTTTTTTCTCATAGTATAATATTTGGTTCAATTTCAAATTCTATTGCAGGTAATTAATATCTCACAATAATTCTTAGTTCGAATTACCCATTTTTTAGATGTCTTTGTGAAATTCTCTGGCATGAGCTTTGAAAGCTAAAACCGTTTACCAGAGACACAGTTACACATTTTAGGGTGGTGCTGAATCTGTTATTTTCTGGTGTTATCATAACATTCAACTGGATTTATACAATTCCATAGCTTGCTTCTTTGTTTGTTTATTAGGACACCAAAGCCAAAAAAAAATTTGGACTTGTATTCTTTCTTTAGAATTCATATGTGAATTCTAAAGAATTAAAGAATTAAGAAACTTGGCTCCAAATGGACTCTAACTATAGAGAAGTTGGTTACCTTTGAATATTTCGACAAAGCCAATGGGACTGTGTGTGTGCAAAGCTCAGAGTGGAAACTGGGCAGCAACTTTGTAGCCAACAAATGTAGACCAACTTATCTACTCCTAACCTGTAGGGGCCTATCCTCAGGTATTAGTGGTTATTTCGTCACTGAAGGATCTAGACTGACATGAGTTCGGGAAACCTGGGTTTTGATTAAACAGGTGAAGGAATGCTTGGACCTCTACTGGGTTCATGATGTTTGCAACCCACTCAGGGTGGTCTTGTTATGGCAATTTTATTTGTTTTTTTGTTAGTGATTTTATCATGGACTCTTGTGTGTATGTGTGTGTGTGAGAGGAATATTTATTAATATTCCATGCAATGTTTAAACAATGAGGTTTAGGAAACGGTAATGTAAATGGGTGGCCTGTGTTTTGGCAACCCCCAACTAGCTGGATTTAGATGAAACATAAATTCTAAAATTTCACTATTTTTTATGTACAGGATCGCTCTATTGATTTGACCACGAAAACAGGTCATTACTTAAAGAAAAAAGTATGTAGACTTGTGATTTTACTCCTTAGGAAATTATTTTCTAGACTTATTTCTTCCTACAGATAAAGTTTTAGATATCTTAAATATTTCTCTATTTGCTGTGATCATGTGGAGAAATTCTTTTCACAAGTTTTACTTTGAAGTTTCATCTGAAAAATCAAAGCTGAAAATATCAAGTCCTGCTTGGTAGTTAGGCAAGCTCAAAGGCTAATGGGCTTCCTTCTTTATACACAGGAGCCAGGAGAGCCCAGTTCTTGGAAGAACAAATTTTTTTTTTTTTTTTTTTTTGAGGTGGAGTTTCACTCTTGCTGCCCAGCCTGGAGTACAATGGTGCCATCTCATCTCACTGCAACCTCTGCCTCCCAGGTTGAAGCAATTCTCCTGCCTCAGCCTGCTGAGTAGCTGGGATTATAAGGATGAGCCAAGCATGAGCTGGCTAATTTTGTATTTTTAGTAGAGACGGGGTTTTTCCATGTTGGTCAGGCTGGTCTTGAACCCCGACCTCAGGTGATCCTCCTGCCTCAGCCTTCCAAAGTGCTGGGATCACAGGTATGATCCACGGCGCCTGGCTCCAGAAGAACAAATTTTAAGAGAATATTCCTCTCAATGAGAGATGCCAGAAAGCCCTAGAAAGCACATGCTAAATTTAAAAAAATAGAAACAAACAACCTAGGCAGCAGAGGAGGGGGCAAACCATGTATTTTCTCTCCATATCTCTCAGAATAATCCATAAATTAGTGAGAGGTGATCTCAGAATTGCACTGACCAGAGGAACTTTGTTAGTAAAATCATTTTGCTTTCAACAATAATTTTCCATTAGTGAGTTCCTATTTGTTTCTGTTCACTCCCAGACTTCTTTAGATGAAAGTATTTCATTCTAGTCTGGCAAGAATTAATTTTCCTACATCCTCTCCTTTCTCTCTGTACCACCCAGGTGGTCTGAGATCTGGGGAGCTCTTGCTTTACATAAGCCAAGCTACACCACTTCCTTAAGCCCTCAAAGGAATTCAGTACTAAGGACATCAGTGAGCTCATGTTCTCTCTCAATTTGGTGAAAATATTTTAATGATAAATTCTCATTATCTTATTTCTCCTTTAAGATGACCACAGAATGTTGAAAAATATCCTCACCACTTCCCAATTCTTCAAATTATTATATTTGTCCTCCTCCTACTTTTTTCTTTTTGTATTTTAAAATAAACTTTTTTTGGTAGAATTTTCAAACATATACAGAAGTACAGAGAATAGTGTAATAACCGCCCCCCCATACCCATCCCATTCTCCAGTTCAACACGGGTAAATCGTTGCCATTGCTTAATAGCTGCTTGATATTGACCTTTTCTCTCTTTCCCTTTCTTTCTTTTTTTCAAATTGCCGTAGTATTTAAAATAAATCCCCGTCATCATATTAGTTAACCTCTAATGACTTCCGATATGTATCTCTAAAAAAAAAAAAAGGACATTTTATTACATAAGCTCAAAATCATTAGCACTCCTAGCTAAATTAACAGTTCTCTTTTTTTAGAATTAACAATTTTTTTTTTTTTTCTGGCTCTGTCCCCCAGGTTGGAGTGCAGTGGTGTGATCTTGACTCACTGCAAACTCTGCCTCCTGGTTTCAAGTGATTCTCCCACCTCAGCCTCCCGAGTAGCTGGGACTACAGGCACATGCCACTATACTTGGCTGATTTTGTATTTTTAGTAGAGATGGGGTTTCACCATTTTGGCTAGGCTGGTCTCGAACTCCTGAACTTAGGTGATCCACCTGCCTTGGGCTCCCAAAGTGATGGGATTATAGGTGTGAGCCACTGAGCCTGGCCAACAGTACGTCCTTAATATCACCCAATTCCCAGTCCATATTCAACTGCCTCAAAATTCCCATTACCTTATAAATGCCTTTTTGGTTTGTTCAGGTCAGGATCCAAAGAAGAGCTACTCATCATACTTGATTTTTGTGACTTTTAAATCTTATTTAATCTAGAACCCTTCTCCCACCCTTTCTGCTTTTTCCATGCCTTTGACTTGCTGACAAATTTAGGTCAGTAAGATGTGCTGCATTCTGGTTTGTCTGATTGCTTTTTTTGATGTTAAGTCATTCTTTCTGCTCCTGTATTTCCTAAGTGCCAAAAGTTGGTTATGAAGGTTTGATTAGATTTAGGGTCAGGTTTTGTTTCATTTTGTTTTTGCTTTGTTTTTTGAGACAGAGTCTCCCTCTGTCGCCAGGCTGGAGTGCAATGGTGTGATCTTGGTTCACTGCAACCTCCACCTTCCGGGTTCAAGAGATTCTCCTGCCTCAGCTTCCTGAGTAGCTGAGACTACAGGTGTGCACCACCATGCCCGGCTAATTTTTGTATTTTTAGTAGAGACAGGGTTTCACGATGTTGGTTAGGCCGGTCTTGAACTTCTAACCTCTCGATCTGCCTGCCTTGGCCTTCCAAAGTTCTGAGATTACCAGCCTAAGCCACCGCATCCGGTCCTTTTTTGTTTGTTTTTTTACAGTGGGGCCGAGTACTTCAGGTTGCATGACACCAGTGGGCGCATGGCTCACTCGTGATCCTGCTTCTAGTGACGAAGAATCCCATTGCATTTCGTTGTGAAGTTTGCCAGCCCCCTGTCCCTCAATGGCATTAGCATCCAATGATTATTGCCTGCATTGGTTATTTTATTAGGTGTTGCCGAATGGTGATTTTTCTAATTCTATCATGTTGCGGGGGCGGGTTTGAACACACAGAAACTGCCTTGGCACGAGTGAAGCCCAGAGTAATTTGAGTGGAGGAGAAAACCGAGTGCAAGTCCTAAAGACTGTTCCAGTGAACCTTTCTCTAAATCAAGATCACCTGGAGAATTCCAAGCGGGAACAGTACAGCATCAGCGTCCCCGAGAGCTCTGCCATCATCCCGGTGTCAGGAATCACTGTGGTGAAAGCTGAAGATTTCACACCAGTTTTCATGACCCCACCTGTGCACTATCCCCGGGGAGATGGGGAAGAGCAACGAGTGGTTATCTTTGAACAGACTCAGTATGACCTGCCCTCGCTGGCCACCCACAGCGCCTATCTCAAGGATGACCAGCGCAGCACCCCAGACAGCACGTACAGCGAGAGCTTCAAGGACGCAGCCACAGAGGTGAGTCCCAGGCTACATTGGCCGGAACCCAAACACAGAGCCCCTAGCTAATTTCTTTTCTGTTTCCCTTCAAAGTGTGATAAATGAATTAAGCAGTGAGTTTTAGTTTCAACTAGTTTTCTAAAACATGTGTTTGTTGGTAGTCTGGCATTCTTTCTAAACAGATACTAATAAACCTATCTATGTCTGTGTGTGTGGAGGATTATTTCTGTTTTTTCTTGATTCTTAGATGATGGATTTGTTTGTTTGTTTTCATTTTAGTCTTAAGATTAAATATTTATGAGGAATTAAGAGATATTTGTGTGGAAACTTCTGCTTTGTAAAGTTTTCACCTTGATCTTCTCTAGTTTGTAACCTTCCAAATGGTAGGTAGCTTAAGGTAGGGCTTGTCCATTCTTTCTTAAAAAGCAGTATAACTTTGGCCCAGCATGGTGGCTCACACCCGTAATCCCAGCACTTTGGGAGGTCGAAATGGGTAGATCAACTGAGGTTGAGAGTTCGAGACCAACTTGGCCAACATAGTGAAACCCCGTCTCTACTAAAAATACCAAAAAATAAAATAAAATAAAATAAGCCAGGCATGGTTGCGGATGCCTGTAATCCCAGCTACTCAGGAGGCTGAGGCAGGAGAATCACTCGAACCCAGGAGGCGGAGGTTGCAGTGAGCTGAGATTGTGCCACTACACTCCAGCCTGGGCGCCAAGAGAGAAACTCCATCTCAAAAACAAAATAAAACAATATAACTTTAAAAAACCTAATCTGATAGAATACTCAAGAAGGAGAATTTGCATTATCAATAATCATGTGTGTATATGTGTGTATTCTTTCTATCTTACAAATAGAGAATATGTATTCTTCTCAGGAGCCCATAGGACTAACAGAAGCAATTTTCTTGGCTTGTTTGTTTTAAATTCACAAGTTCTAAGTGCACAGTTGAGAATTTTGGTAGTTGTATACAATTGTAAAACCAACATCAGAAGCTAAGCATAGAAAGTTCCCTCGCCATAAAATTTCCTTGAACCTCTTTGCACTTGAAGCCCTCCCTGGTCCCCTTGCATTTGGTGAGCATGGATCTGCCCACTGTCACCACAGTTTTGCCTTGTCTAAAATTTCATTTAAATGAAATGACAGAGGATATAGTCTCCTATTGTGCCTTTTTTGCTTAGCAAATTTTTGAGATTCATATATGTTGTTTTTTTGTTTGTTTTTGAGATGGAGTCTTACTGGGTTGCCCAGGCTGGAGTGCAGAGGTGAGATCTTGACTCACTGCAACCTCTGCCTACTGAGTTCAAAGGATTCTCCTGCCTCAGCCTCCGGAGTAGCTGGGATTACAGGCATGCATCACCATGCCTGGTTATTATTTTTTTTTTCTTTTGTATTTTTAGTAGAGATGGGGTTTTACCATGTTGGCCAGGCTTGTCTTGAACTCCTGACCTCAGGTGATCCGCCTACCTTGGCCTCCCCAAATGCTGAGATTACAGGTGTGCGCCACTGCGCCCAGCCTTGTTGCTTGCTTTAATAGTTGTTTTTAAAAATTGCTGAGTAGTATTTCATAGTGAGTGTATATCACTATAGCTAGTCACTAGTTGATGGACATCTGGTTGCTTCTAGCTTTTGGCTATTATGAAAAATGCTGCTATGGACATTCCTACTTATATTTTAAAGTGGACATACACTTTGATTTCTCTCAGGTAAATACTTAGAGCTGGAATTGCTGGGCCATGTGGCTCATGTATGTTTAACTTTATAAGGTAGTACCACACGGTGGTTCAAAGTGGCTATACCATTTCGTTCCTACCAGCAATGTATAAGGATCCCTGTTTTCCACACTGTTGCCAAAACTTGGTAACTTTTAAACTTCAGCTCTTTTAGTGGATATGTGATGATGTTTCATTGTGCCTTGCATTTGCATTTCTTTATGTGTAGTGATGTTAAACAGCATTTCATGTACTTATTTGGCCCTTCCTATAACTTCTTTTGTGAAGTGTCTGTTCAAATTATTTGTCCAATTTTTAAATTGAGTTTTCTTCCTTTTGTTAAGTTTTAAAAGCTCTCTATATAATGTGAATATAAGCCTTTGATTAGTCACATATTTTGCAGTCCATTAGCCTTTCTTTTCTTAATTTTATCTTTCCATGAACCACAGTGTTTAATCCGATGAAGTCTACTTTATTAATGTTGTCATTTATAGTTTATATTTTTGTTATTTAAGAAATCTTTCCCTAACCCAATGTCACACAATTTGTTTGCTTTTTGTTTTTCTTTAGACATTTATTAGTTTTACCTCTTTCACTCAGGTTTTTGATTTATTTTGAAGTAATTTTTATATATGATGTGACGTAAAGATTGAGACACTTTTCTCCATACTGATATCCAGCCATACTGATTTTGTTCCAGCACCATTTGTTAAAAAGATGATCTTGTATTCATTGACTTGCCTTGGGTTCTTGGTAAAACAGCAATTTATGATATAATTGTAGGTTCTTTTTCCAAATTTTGACCCAGAATAGGTAATGTGTATTTTTATTAGCTCAGGTCAGTTTCTTTACCATTTAGGAGCAGTGTCTCTGATTTGAGATGGGAGTCATTGGTTCCCTATTTTTCAGCCCACTTTGGCCAGTAAAAGACAAGGACAAAAGGGGAGAATGCGTGGTTTTCCACCTAAAGAGGAGTGAGTTTAGTGGCAGTGTGACAATGTCTTCAGCCTGCTGCCTATTTAATTTCCATTGGGGCAAAATGCAGCTACCTGAGCTTGATATTTCATCTTTAAATAATAGTATTTAAAAATAATGAACATTTGATAGGTATTCACTATGTACTGGGCATCATTCTAAGTGATATATAAGTAAGCCTCACAAAAGCTCTATGTGGTAGGTACTATTATTGTCATCTCTATATTCTAAATGAGGAAACTGAGGGACAGAGAACATAAGTATGCTCACGGTCATTTAGCAGTAAGTGGGAGGGATGGGACTCAACCTAAGCTGTTTGGCTCCAGAACATAAATCCTTAATCATACCACTGCACACTCAGGGAAGACTGGGGCCTTCTAATTCTCAGTAGTTCCATTGCTTAAGACAGTGATTCACCAAAATCTTTTTAAAGATATCTGACTGTCCTTGATCCATCTCAGAGTTTTTTTTTTTATCTTTCAGGTGAGCAAAGAGTACAAAATGTTGGTGAGCAGGGACTAGCTCTCTGCAAAGTTGCAGAGAGCAACTCTTATTTATTAGGGCATAGAAGTTGCACTAGCAGCCCTGCCACTCCTGGCACCAGTCATTTCTGAGTGCCTGCTGTATTCTGTGGAATCAGAGAGTGATGAAAGTGACACATGATAAATTCCTTGTCCTTAAGAGTCTGTCATATTTATTGGGTTCTGGTAGCTTTACAATCAGACTTTCAGTGCCCTTGAAATTTAAAAAATGGTCTTAAAATTATTTTTTCTTAGCTTCCTGAGTCATATGGCTTAAAATAGTTAGCAAACTTCCTTGTTTTCTTTTTTTAAACTGAGTGAAGGATCTTGTAGAGTCTTTGGTATTGTTGATTATTTGATTTGCTGTCAAGTAGTCAGGGGTGTTTCTGTAGGAAAAGCAAATAACTGAAATTATCACTCTGCAATCCCACGTGAGATACATGCTTTTTCACCAAAAGATTTCCACTGATTTTTTTTCTCACGCAGTGTAGAAATATTCCATTAGTCACAGAGGAGTGTATGGACATGGTCCAATGTCAATGGAATCATCATGCTATTTGGGGGATGTGTTATCAGTTATGTTTGTGTTGTAGATAAAGAGGCTTGTGAAAGGAAGCTATTGTATTTTGGGCTTTATTTTGAAGTAGATTAGAAAGTAAAGAAACTTACCAGAAACTAAATATAAAGACTATTCCTACTGATTTTGGTTGAGCTGCTCTCCTTGTCTTGTAAATCAGTGTTTACATGGCATATCATATTTCAGCCTGATGTAAATTAAATTGAATGACCTTCTATGATCTTTAGCTATTTTATTGCCAACTGTTATAAGATTAAGTGATTTCAGAGTAATTTCATCAAGAAAATTTCATTATGGAAAATTTGTCTAAACTCATTTATTCTAGGCAAACTATTAAAATATCTAGAACCCTGGTTGAATAATCCAATTTCTTTTGCCATTTGAGGCCAGTTCTTCTGTGTGTATATGCATGTGCACATGTAGTGGTAGCAGGGAAGGGAGTAGTTTGCCTAAACTCAGGCTAAGATTTTTGAAAAGACAGTGGCAGCATTTAGACTGGGAGTGGTGGCTTGTGCCTGTAATCCCAGCACTTTGAGAGGCAGAGGTGGGAAGATCATTTAAGCCTGTGAGCTCACGACCTCTGTCTCTACAAAAATACAGAATAAAGAAATTAGCCAGGTGTGGTGGCATGCACCTGTAGTCCCAGCTGCTTGGGGGGCTGAGGCGGAAGAATTGCTTCAGCCCAGGAAGTTCAGGCTGTGGTGAGCTATGATCATGCCACTGCACTCCAGCTTGGGTGACAGAGCAAGGCCCCGTCTCAAAAACAAACAAAAAACAAAACAAAAAAATCATTTTAATGGATGAATTTTAGCTAATTTGATTTATATTTTATTCTACATCCTCTTTGTAATAACGTTTGGCAAATATGTGTTGATTTATACTGGGTGTTAGGCATTGTGGTGATGTGGAAGCTTAAGGCAGAAGGCATGTCTGGTCTCTGCCTTCTAGAAGCTTACAATCTGTCTGTATGTGTGAAGGGAAATAATGATAGATGCCATTTATTGAGTTCTACTCTGTACCAGCCACCATGGCTTATGCATTTTACTTCTAATCCTTACTACCATCCTGCAAGGAAGGTGTATTATTTTTCCCATTTTACAGATGAAGAGACAGAGGTTGAGAGAGGGTAAGAAACAAGCCAAACATCATCCCACTAATAAGTGAAGAGTATAGTTGATAAATGTACATTGGAGTAGTAATTAAGACCAAAAATGTTTCAGGAAACATTTAAAAATTAAGAGTTGGAAGAAATTTTATCAAAAATCATATAGATACA